AGCGTCATCTTCAACGTGCAGCCACACCCCGACTACCCAGAATTCTACCAATGTGTCACCTTCGGATTCTTTAATGCCAACAACAGCGGCCAGATGATGTATACGATATTCTGCATCTCTTTTGTGTGTGTGTGTGTGTGTAGAGAATCTATTGGGTTTGTTTAGTAGTGTATAGACGGAGACAGACAGACAGACAGATAGACAGACAGACAAACACACACTCTCTCATACACACACATACACCTCTCTCTCTCTCTCTCTCTCTCTCTCTCTCTCTCTCTCTCATTCTATTCTCCTTGCTCTCGTCACTACACAAGACGGAAGTATATTCACGTAATGAGATAATGTCTTCACGAGTAGAGAGTTTGACGTACGAGAGGAGACGAAAGAGATTAAAGATATTTTTCAAGATTATTTTCCTAAACTCTGATTCAAGTTGGGAAAAAAAGTATTGCCAAGGAGGAGGAAAATAGTCTAAATAGTAGATATTGAAAGCGAAGGAAAAATAGTATTAAGGGAAAAAAAACTTAAGACGGGAGTTGGAATAAGGGGAAAAATATTATTCTTAGAGGGAATTTATTAGTTCAGAGACGGAAGGGTATAACAAAGGTGGGAAAATAGTATGAAAGCGTAGGGAAAAAACTCAAGATATTAAATAGAAGTGGAACAAAATAAATAATACTATATATAAAGGTAAAATTAAAAACAAACAGGAGTACATATAGAGACAGAGGAGGGAAATAATAACACCGGTGAGGGAAAAAGTTAAAGAAAGAAAGAAGGACACTTTGTCCCTCTCTTGGGAAAAGTGGGAAAATAGAATTAACAGATAAGGGTCTTTGATATAGTTTTTCTCTCTCAATCTTTATCTCTCGCTCTCTTTCTTATCTATCTATCTATCTTACATACAAACACACACTTTCTCTTTATTCTTTCTCCCTCACATAAACTCTCTCTCTCTCTCTCTCTCACTCTTCTCTTTATATAACTGACGTGAACCCAACTGCGTTATCGACCTGTTAATCTCTCCTTCTCTATCTGTCTTTCTGTCAATATGTCTGGAGTCTGTCTATTTGTCAACCTGTCAATATGTTTGTCTATTTTCCCTTTTCTCTACCCCCCACACACTCACCTAACACCCCTCCCCCCCACACTCACCTAACACCCTCTCCCCCACACACCCACCCTAACACCCTCCCCACACACTCACCTAACACCCCTCCCCCACACACTCACCTACACCTCCCTCCTCCACACACTCACCTAACACTCTCCCCCACACACTCACTCCACACCCCCCACACACCTCACCTAACGCCTCCCCCCACGAAACCCCATCAGGAACAAGGAGCCCAGAAACCCATACCCAAACACGGTGCTCCAGACCTGACTATTGTAGAGTAAAGGCTCCTGCTGCTCCCAGCTTCATTATAAAGGCCCTAGGCTCCAGCATAAAGGCTCCTGGTCACTATAAAGGCCCTAGGCCCAGTATAAAGGCCCTAGGCTCCAGCATGTGTGCCCCAGGCTTCATTATAAAGGCCCTAGGCTTCATTATAAAGGCTCCTAGGCACCAGTATAAAGGCCCTAGGCTCCATTATAAAGGCTCCCAGTCCAGCATAAAGGCCCTAGGCTCCAGTAGATAAAGGTCCTAGGCTCCATTATAAAGGCTTCTAGGCTCATTATAAAGGCCCAGCCCATAAAGGCTCCAGGCTCCATTATAAAGCCCCAGGCTCCAGTATAAAGGCCCTAGGTCCAGCATGCTCCCTAGGCTCCATTATAAAGGCTCCTGTATAAAGGCTCTAGGCTCCAGTATAAAGGCTCCTAGGCTCCATTATGAGCTCCTAGGCTCCATTATAAAGGTCTCTAGGCTCCATTATGGCTCCCAGGTCCAAGGCCCAGCATAAAGCGTCCTATTTCATTATAAAGACTCTAGGCTCCATTATAAAGGCCCTAGGCTCAGCAGCATAAAGGCTCCTAGATCTTATAAAGGCCCCAGGCTCCAGCATAAAGGTCCCTAGGTCTAGCATAAAGGCTCCTAGGCTTCATTATAAAGACTTAGGCTCCAGCATATAAAGGCTCCTAGGTCCATTATAAAGGCTCCTAGGTCCATTATAAAGGCTCCCAGGCTCTATAAAGGCCCTAGGTCCATTATAAAGGCTCTTAGGTCTGTGCATAAAGGTCCTAGGCTCCATTATAAAGGCCCTAGGCTCCAGCATAAAGGCCCCAGGGTCTACTATAAAGGCCCCAGGCTCCAGTAAAGCTGGCCCCAGGTCCAGCATAAAGGCCCCAGGCCCAGCATAAAGGTCCCAGGTCCAGTATAAAGGCCCTTGGTCCAGTATAGCTCCTAGGTTCCATGAGCAAAGGCCCTAGGCTCCAGTATAAAGGCTCCTAGGCTCCAGTATAAAGGCTCCTAGGCTCCAGTATAAAGGCCCTAGGCTCCAGTATAGGCTCCTAGGTCCACAAGTAACTAATAACACAGGCTTTATATTGTTATCTTCCGGTTGAAAAGTCACCCTCCCCCAAGTTAATCAAATTATTTTTTTTTCGCGTTGCTGCCTCGACAAAATTCTTGATGCTCGGTGAGGTGAGGTGAGGTGAGGTGAGATGAGATGTTAGGTTAGGTTAGGTTAGGTTAGGTCCCCTGAGGCTAAAATTAATTCTGTACTCACCTGACGCTAACTGACTAAGTTTACGTGTGGTGTGAGTTACCTGTCAGATAACATGTTAATTGACCTGTGTTTCAAAGGTGTGTTCGTGTATATTTTTTGTTCCTGTTTATTAGCTTCTTACCTTGTACTCATTAAGTTTATTAAGTGATTAGTACCTGTCCCTACCTGAGACAACACTGTACTAAGTTACCTGAGATAAAATACCTGTACTGAGTTACCTGAGACAAAATACCTGTACTGAGTTACCTGAGACAATCTGTAATAACCCGTGTCTGTGTGTGTTTGGTCACCTCAGACGACTACACGAGGGAGGAGCGCTACCACGGTCGACTACAGCTCCGACGCAGCAACATGTCCAACATCGAGAGAGCCAGGACCAGGACGCTAAGAATGACGTTTATCATCGTCATGGCCTTCATCTGTTGACGCCCTACGCCTGCTACACTCTGGTACGTACTCTCTCTCTCTCTCTCTCCTTATTTATCTCGCTCACTCCCTGCCTCCTCCCCCTTCTCTCTCATTCCTCCCCTTTCTCTCTCTCCTCCCCACCTATCAACCTCCTTCCCTCTCCCTCCCTTCATTACCACTCTTCCCTCCCTTCCCTCAGCACTCTCCCTCACTCAGCATCAACCTCCTCCTCCCCCCCACTCCCCCTTTCTCAGACCATTACACCGTGGATTACCCTCCCTTAAAGATAATCTGTTTGTCAACATGTGGAGGTGTAGTTTGTCTGAATAGTGCTCTCATTGCGCTTTGGGGGAGAGAGAGAGAGAGAGAGAGAGAGAGAGAGAGAGAGAGAGAGAGAGAGAGAGAGAGAGAGAGAGAGAGAGAGAGAGAGAGAGAGACAAATCATTAACCCATCACGCGTTCAACAACCAGTGAAGATATCTTCCTCACACTCACGTTCTACCTGAGTGTTTGTTTGTTTGTGTTAGTTTTCCAGGTTTGTTTGTTTATTTATTTGTTTGTTCGTGTTTGTATGTTTTCGTGTTTGAGTTTGTCCTTTTATCGTTTTGTTTCGTTTGTCTGTTTTAATGTATTTGTTTTGTTTCTGTTTTCTTGTTTGTTTTCTTGTTGGTTTGTGTCCATGTGATTCTGTTTATTTTTTTTTTTTTATCTGTTTGTGTTTGTTTAGGGACATGGAAATAATGAAAGAGAGAGAGAGCGAGAGAGATGCAGCGTGTGTGTGTGTGTGTGTGTGTGTGTGTGTGTGTGTGTGTGTGTGTGTGTGTTACTAAACGTCACCTTTTCAACCACCTCAAGACATTATCCATTAAAGACCATTCTCTAACATTACACCTTCTACAGCGTCTACAGAGAACGTATAAACCTATCACCTTCTACAGCGTCTACAGAGAACGTATAAACCTATCACCTTCTACAGCGTCTACAACAAACATCACTTCCCTTCTCTCTCTCTCTCTTCTTCAGGAACTTCATCGACCCCAAGACCTTCTACAGTATGAACAAACACCTCCAAGATATCCTGTTCATTATAGGCGTGAGTAACTCCGTCGTCAACCCTATCATCTACGGCCGCTACTCCATCAGTTGTTGTCGAGACGTATGGACCAAATCTGGTGAATTCTGCTGTTACTGCTGCTGGTGTTGGTGTTGTTCCTGTGCTTCCCACCAGCGCCTCGGCTCTGTACCCCCTACTAACATTAACTCCTGTAAGAGTAATGGCCACTGTCACGGTATGTACCTGATGTGAATGTTATTACTAGATCTTATACCTGAAGAAGGGGAAAGACGGTGGTGTTAAAACTTGATATCTGGGGGTTCTTTTTTTTATGGTGTTTGGGGTAAATTTTTTTTTTTTTTAGTATTTGGGGGGAATTTGGGGACTTTTTATAGTATTTTTGGGAAATTTGTGGATTTTTTATAGTATTTTGGGGATATTTGGGGAGTTTTTGTGGATTTTTATAGCCTTCTGGGGAAATGTGGGTCATTTTGTGGATTCTAAAAGGTATTTCAAGTTATATATTTAATTTTCTGGTTTGTGATTAGACAACGATCGTAGTTAGGGTAATGTGACGCCAATTTGGTCTTGCTATTTGTGTTAGGTTAGGTTAGGTTAGTTTTAATTAGATTAGGTTAAGGTTGTTTAGATTAGATTTGATTAGGTTAAGATGTGTTAAGTTAGGTTACAGTTAGATTAGTTAGGGTAAATTCGGTTAGGTTTATTTGGTTTGGTTAGCTATAACAAGAGCCGCAATGCAGGCAAATCACGGGCGAATGTTCGTCTGGCTTAGTGCAGATTTTTCTTTCACTTAAGTAGTTCACCTTATTTACGATATAAAGATTAATTTTCAAAGGGTCGTTCATTCCTCACCTCCCGTAATGACAAAGGTGGAACAAAATGGCGGCTATATTACACTAAGACTATCATAACTAAATTGGGTCATCTCTTCATAAAAGTTAATTTCCTTTAGCTTTCATATGAGATGGTCGAGCTTATCGGTATGTCAGTTACAGCCTTGTCATGCCCTCCAGCTTTTCAGAATGGCAGATCAAAAGTCGTGGATATTTTGGCCATCATACAAAGGTCATATTGGCATTGTCTTTGTGTGGGATTATCTTCTTTAGTGACATGTCGACTATAGCATTGTTTTCCCTCCTCCTCTATCCCCTTCCTCCTCCTCTCCCTTTACCCCTTCCCTTCCTCCATCTATCCCCTTCCTCCTCCACTATCCCTTCCTCTCCTCCTCCCACCACGTCTCCAAGGCCGTATTAATTTCACAGAGGCAATAAAGGCTTGTTGTGGGAGCTGACGATCCCTCATACCTTATACCTGATACCTCATACCTTGCACCTGACACCTCATACCTTGCACCTGACACCTGACACCTCATACCTTGCACCTGACACCTCATACCTTGCACCTGACACCTGACACCTCATACTCTGCACATGACACTCATACCTTGCACCTGATCCCTCATACCCTGCACCTGATCCCTCATACCTTGCTTGCACCTGACACCCTATATCTTGCACCTGAAACCTCATACCTTGCACCTGACACCTCATACCTTGCACCTGACACCTCATACCTTGCGCCTGACACCTCCTTACCTTGCCTGACACCTTACCTTATACCTGACACCTCATACCTTACACCTGACACCTCATACCTTGCACCTGACACCTCATACCTTGCACCTGACACCTCATGCTTTACACCTGACACCTCATACTTATACCTGACACCTCATACCTTACACCTGACACCTCATACCTTGCACCTGACACCTCCTTACCTTGCACCTGACACCTCATACCTTCCACCTGATCCCTCATACCTTGCACCTGACACCTCCATACCTTGCCTGACACCTCATACCTTACCTGACCTCATACTTTACACCTGACACCCTAACACCTAACACCTCACACCTGACACCTTATACCGTCATACCTCAGACTTTACAACCGATGGAAATTATGTCCGGGTGGGAATTATGTCCAGGTTGGATTTATGTCCGGTGGGAATTATGTCAGGTTGGATTTATGTCGAGTGGGAATTATGTCGAGTGGGAATTATGTGTCAGAGTGAGAATAATGTCGGGTGGGAATTATGTCAGGTGGGAGTTTTGTCAGTGTTTCCTCCCCGGCTCCTTCCTGTCCTATTAAGAAAAAAATATCGAGACAAAATGTGGAGAAGAGTGAGTTATGAAGACAGAGAGAGAGAGGGGGGGGTGAAAGACGAACAGACAGACAAGGCAATCAGTGAGTTAAAGAGACAGACAGACACAAACAGACTGAGATAAAGACAGATCGATAGATAGACAGACAGACAGAGAGGAGAGAGACAGGTAAAAGTAGATAAATATTGAAGTGAATTTAGGCTCTCTCTCTCTCTCTCATCTGTCACTGTCTCTCACTAGTCACTTTAAGTCAACCGTATCTCCATCTCTCTCTCACTTTCTCTCTCTCCATCTCTCTATCTCCCATCTCTCTCTCTCTGTCTCTTGTCTCTTACTAGTCAGCTAAAGTGAGCCATGTCTCTCTTGTCTCTCCTCTGTCTCTCACTAGTCAGTTTAAGTCAACCGTATCTCATCTCTCTCTCTCACTGTCTCTATCTCTCTCGCTCTCATCTGTCTCTCACTAGTCAGTTAAAGTGAGCCGTGTCTCTCTTGTCTCTCACTAGTCAGTTTAAGTCAACCGTATCTCCCATCTCTCTCTCATCTCTCTCTTGTTCTCCACCAGTACCTCGGCAACACCGCAGCACCATCTACAACAACTCCACCCGTGACAGAAAGGGTTGTCGGCGTCATGCTGCAGGTGAGGAAGTGAGAAGTGAGGAAGTGAGGTGAGGTGAGTGAGGGTGAGGAGAGTGGGGAGTGAGGGAGAGTGAGGTGAGAGTGGAGGGTGAGGTGAGAGTGGGGGTGAGGAGGTGAGGTGGGAGTGAGGTGAGGTGAGTGAGGTGAGGTGAGGTGGGAGGTGGGAGGTGAGGAGTGAGGTGGGGGGGTGAGGTGGGGGGGTGAGGAGAGGAGTGGGGGGTGAGGTGGGGGTGAGGGTGAGGGGGTGAGGAGGTGAGGTGAGAGGGTGAGGTGAGGTGAGGTGAGGTGGGGGTGGGGGGTGGGGAGTGGGGGTGAGGTGAGGTGGGGGAGGTGGGGTGAGGTGGGGAGGTGAGGGTGGGGGTGGGGGTGGGGGTGGGGGTGGGGTGGGGGTGGGGTGGGGGGTGGGGTGGGGATGGGAGGTGAGGGAGGTGGGAGTGGGGGTGAGGAGGTGAGGGGTGAGGTGAGGTGGGGGAGTGAGGAGGTGAGGTGGGAGGTGAGGTGAGGGAGGTGGGGAGGTGAGGTGAGGGGTGAGGTGGGGGGTGAGGTGAGGGACTGGGGTGAGTGGGGTGAGAGCGTGAGGGGAGAAGGAGAGAATATGTACTGGCGGGGTAAAAGACCATAACAAGCCACACAGGATAAGAAACACCCAGAGATAAACAAACAAACAAACAAACAAACACACAGGGATTAAATGCAGAACGGAAGACAATAACAAAAGTGTCTGCCAGGGCCACGCACACCTGGGACAATAACATAAGGTGTTTACTCAGGTGTGTTCAAGTCCATCTTCCAGGTACAATATAAGACCACTCGAAAACAAAGCTTTATTCATGGAACCTTCAAGAAGAGGAGATAGGGTGGGGGTATGGAGAGGGAGTGGGGTGAGGGGGGTAGAGAGGGGGTGAGGAGAAAGGTGGGTTAGGGGTGTGGGGCAGGGGAGGATGGGAGAAACATTCTTACGTGGTGTTTGATGATGATGTTGTTTATGTGTGTGTGTGTGTGTGTGTGTGTGTGTGTGTGTGTGTTTCTCTCTCTCTCTCTCTCTCTCCAATTAATGTGCACCTGTCTCATCTTTCCTTGGTAGTTGCTTCTCTCTGTCTCTCACTCCCACACTAATTCTCTATCTCTCCCTTCCGTGCTATCTATCTCTCCACTCCCCTCACCATCTATCTCTCACTCCCTCCTCTCTATCTCCCCTCCCTCACCCTCTATCTCTCCCTCCCTCACCCTCTATATCCCTCCCTCACCCTCTATATCTCCCTCCCTCCCCTCTATCTCCCTCCCTCACCATCTATCTCTCTCCCTCCCTCACCACCATCTCTCCTCCCTCACCCTCTATCTCCCTCCCTCACCCTCTATCTCTCCCTCCTCACCATCTATCTCTCCCCCTCCCTCACCCTCTATCTCTCCCTCCCTCACCCTCTATATCTCCCTCCCTCCTCTATATCTCCCTCCCTCACCCCTCTATCTCTCCTCCCTCACCATCTATCTCCCCCTCCCCTCACCCTCTATCTCCCTCCCCTCACCCTCTATCTCCCCTCCCTCACCCTCCTCTCTCTCCCCCCTCCCCTCACCCTCTATCTCTCCCCTCCCTCACCCTCTATCTCCCCCCTCCCCTCACCCTCTATCTCCCCTCCCCACCTCTATCTCCCCCTCCCTCACCCTCTATCTCTCCCTCCCTCACCATCTCTATCTCTCCCTCCCTCACCCCTCTATCTCTCCCTCCCTCACCCCTCTATCTCTCCTCCCTCACCCTCTATGTCCCCCTCCCTCACCCTCCTATCTCCCCCCTCCCTCGCCCTCTATCTCTCCTGCCTCACCCTCTATCTCTCCCTCCCTCACCCCTATCTCTCTCCCTCCCTCACCCTCATCTCTCCCTCCCCTCACCCTCTATCTCTCCCTCCCTCACCCTCTATCTCTCCCTCCCCTCACCCTCTATCTCTCCTCCCTCACCCCTATCTCTCTCCCTCCTCACCCTCATCTCTCCCTCCCTCACCCTCCTATCTCTCCCCTCCCTCACCCCTCCCTATCTCTCCCCTACCTCACCCCTCCTATCTCTCCCTCCTCATCCTCCTCTCTCCCTCCTCACCCTCTATCTCTCCCTCCCTCACCCTCCTATCTCTCCCTCCCTCACCCTATCTCTCTCCCTCCACTGACCCTCCATCTCCCCTCCCCTCACCCTCTATCTCCCCCTCCCTCATCCCCTCTATCTCTCCCTCCCTCACCCCTCTATCTCCCTCCCCTCCTCTATCTCTCCCCTCCCTCACCCTCTCCCCTCCCTCACCCTCCCTATCTCTCCCTCCCTCACCCCTCTATCTCCCTCCCCTCACCCTCTATCTCTCCCCTCCCTCACCCTCCTATCTCCCCCTCCCTCACCCTCCATCTCCCCCTCCCTCCCCTCTATCTCTCCCTCCCCTCACCCTCTATC